TTCCTTTTAAATCAGTTTGTTCATCGGCAAAAACTTACAACGGAAGCATGGAGGCTAATCAGGTTAAACCAGTTCCATCTGTAATTATGTTAGTTTGTTCTTACATGTACTTTTGTTTCCATGAATGCTCTTAAGTGCATAGAATATGGTTAATAGTTCTAAATTAATATGGTTGCCAAAAATGATATATGATCACCTGCTACTTCTCATGTTAAATCTTTTGTTATTTTCTTTTTTTGGCAAAAAGAAAAAAAAAAAACTTTTATGCATGGTTAAGCATTTTGTACAGAGTAATGCAGGAGTAGTTTCACGCATGATTGTGCCTGAGGTCCTTAAAGAAGATAATTATCAAAGGTGGTGCATTTTCATGAAATACTATTTAGCGGCTCAAGACCTTTGGGATGTGGTTGTATTAAGCAAGATGCGTCATGCTCATGGAGAAGACCCAAAGAAGTGGGATCAAAGAAATGCTTTAGCTCTGCATGCTATTAAGATTTCATGTGGAGAAGAAATGTTTGATGGGATTAAGTAGATGAATTCAGCAAAAGATGCTTGGAAAGCATTGGCTGACTCGCATAAACAACCAAAAGATAACGAGGGCGAAGATACAGGTTTTTATTTTCCATCTCTCTCTTTTTCTTAATTTTAATAAGATTGCCTCAGAAGGTAATCTTACAATCCTTGGCAGGATTCAAGACTTTTGAAAGGAAACAAGCCGTAACTTTGCTCAAGGACATAAAAAAGGGGGATTCTGATGCTGTAAACAAACTCTTTGAAACCCATCCTCTGTATTCTGTAGTATTAGAAGACCGTTCTGCAGCATTAGAAGACCGTTCCACTCTTCTTCATGTTGCAATTGCTGCTGGCCAGGTAGAGTTGGCTAAGGAACTGATTTCGGTGATGCCAGACGAAGAGTTGGAAATACCAAATTAGCGCGGCCAGACAGCTCTCTCCGTGGCTGCTTGTGAGGGAAGTAGAAAGATCGTAGAATGTTTGGTTGGAAAGAACAAAAGATTGCCTGAAATACCAGATTGTGGGAAGAAGATCCCATTTGTATTGGTCTGTGTCACTGACCATAAGTCTTTGACTCTTTATCTTCATTCGGTGACACCTAGTGAAATTCTAGATCCAGAAAATGGAGACCATGGGTTCTTCCCC